ACATCTTTTATCAGAGTAAGGTTCATAACACATCCAACCTGTCCAGCATTAGATATCAACTATCACTAATGACCATTTACTTAACCAACAGAATTATACACACAACAAACAATTACTAAGAATATAACCCATTAGCCCATCATTTATTACACATGCATGCTAGAATATGAGAGATGAAAATAATCTACAATGTCACTACAATGCCCAGGAAACAGCAGATAATCACAAACTGCACAAAAGACCCAAGATACAACACAACAAAAAAGATAAAGCATTTCCCAGAGGAAGAAAGGCTGATGGAATTCTCTGAGAAATTCAGAATAAAAAGCAATGTTTTCACAGGATGCAGAAAAACATGAAGAAGGAATTCACAAGCTAACCTGTAGAAGAATAAAAAAAACTCCAACAACCCACCAATACAAGATAAAGTAGATAAAACCAAATGAATATCAGAAAAACAAGAAACTGCAATGAAGAATTTAAAAAAACTCAGAAGCTGGCAACATACTAGATGGACAGAATAACAGAAATGAAGAAATGGAACACAAAATCAGTGAAACAGAAGAGTCCTCGGCACTAATGAACTGGAGGAAAAAGCAAAAACAAGACTGAAGGAAAATGAACAAGAATTATATGGGATAAAATCAAGAAGAAGAACTCATGAGTAACTGGAATTCCAGAACAGGAAGAAGAAGGGGGAAAAAAGACATCGATAAAACTTTGGAAGAGTTACTGTAAGAAAATGTTCCAAGTATCATGACAAAATACACATCCAAGAAGCTGAGCAAACCCCAAACAGGATGGACCCAAGGCACAGCAGTCATAGTCTCTAAAATCAAAGACCAGAGGAGAATTCTGAAAGTAGTCCAATAAAAAAGAACTGCTTGTAAAGGAGACTTAGTAAGATTAAATGTTGATTATTAGAAGAAACTATGAGACAACGGAATGTCTCACAGAATGAGATGAAATATTAAAATTTCTGAAAGAAGACAACTGTCAAAAATCTTGTATCCAGCAAAACTATATGTCAAATGAGGCAGACAATTAGTACATTCTCAGAAAAGCAGAAACTAAGGGAATTAATGAAAACAAGATCCAACTGTGCAGGAAATACTAAACGATATCCTTCACACAGAGACAGCACAGAAAAGTAGATGGCTTAAAGTAACTAGCAACAACACAAGAAGAAACCCAACAAAATACAAAATGGTAGCAATAAAACCTTGCCACACTAATAATCACAAGGGATGTGAATGGTTTAAATGCACCAGTTAAGAGAAAAAGAGCAGCAAATTGGATAAAAACAAACCTCATCAGTCTCACCACTGGGACAACTGGCAGCATCATGATAAACAGTGAAGAGATGGAGACTGTTAAAATTTCAGCTTTCATGGCTCCACAATCAACACACTTGGTACCAGTAGCAAGGATATCAAAAGACTAATTGTACTAGGAAAGTCTGCTGACAGGGACCTCTCCAGAGTACTAAAGAGCAACAATGTCAGTCTAGAGACTAAGGTGCACCTAATCCATCCCGTGGTCTTCACAATTACTTGCTATGCATAGAGAGCTGGACAATGACTAAGGATCACAGAAGATGAATCGATGCCTTTGAGTTATGAACATACCATGGACTGCTAAGAGAACAAACAGGTCTGTTCTGGAGAGGGTGAAACCAGGCTGCTCCTTGGAGGCAAGGATTTTGAAGCTCAGTCTGACATACTTTGGACATATTGCAAGGAGAAGTTCTTAGAAAGGGACAGTATGCTTGGAAAGGTAGAGGGACAGTGCAAGAAAGGAAGAACCTCGACGAGATGGATTGACTCAGCAACTCGGGTAATGGGGGCAGGTGTGTCAGAGACATTGAAATTTCTCAAGATAGAGTAAGGTTCAGAGCTGTTGTACATAGGGTTGCTATGAGTTGGAGCTGAATCAACAGCACATAACAACAACAACAACGACATCAATATTTGTCTCTGAAGTTACCTGTATTGTAGGACAAAGACTAAAAAAATCAAAGGGTGAGGGAAAAATACACCAAATGAATGGCAACCTGTACCTCTGCAAAACAAAACAAAACAAACAAACAAAAAAAGCAGGAGAGGCAGTATTAATTTCTGATAAAAGATATTTCAGGGTAAAATCTAGCATAAGAGACAAGGAAGGACACTATATAATGCTTAAAGTGTAAACAGAAAAAGACATTAATTAATACCCATGCACCAAATGACACAGCTGCAAAATACATAAACATTAGCAGACTTGAAGACAGAAATAAACAATGCAACAGTAGTAGTTGTTGTTATTTGGGTTGTTATATATCAATCATAGTCGCCTTATGAAGAACAAATCTGCACCCTGTACTGTCTATCCTGTACCATCTTCATCATTTCTAACATTGCTGCAGTCACTGTGTCAAACCATCTCACTGAGGGTCTTCCTCTCTTTCACTGACCTTCCACTTTTCCTAGCATGGTGCCCCTTTCCAAGTTGTTGTTGAGTACAACTGAGTCAGAACTGACCCATAGCTGACCAACCAGTGGATTTTCAGAAGCAGTTAATCACATGGGAACATCCTTCTCTCGTGGAGAAGTGGGTGGATTCAAACCATGTACCTTTGGGACTGCAGTGTTGCTTCTTATCACTAGACCACCAGAGCTTCCTAAGAGTAGAGACTTCAATACAGTACTCACAATGAAAGACAAGATGACTAGAAATAAATTAAACAAATATGCAAAAGAACTAAACTACACAATTAACCAACTCGACCTCATAGGTCGACCAACAACTCGACTCAACAAAAGCTCAGTATATATTCTCTTTTTTTGTGTAGGCAACCCAGAAACTTGGGGGCCACGTGATCCATGATGCACTGGAAAATACTGGAAACATCCTGGAGGCTGAGGAAAGCACTGGAAGCATCCTGGAAGCTGAAGAAAGCACTAGACACACCCTGGAGGCTGATGGCGTGCATTACTACAGGATCAACTTTGACAAATACCATCTGGGTTATTCTAGAAAGGTTGGGATGAGACATTACCACCTGAAGAGGAATCAGGGCTTCTGCCCAATTGTCAATCTTGACAAATTATGGACCTTAGTCAGTGAGCAGACAAGGGCAAATGCTACCAAAAATAAGACTGCAGCTGTTCTCATCACTGATGTGGTTCAATAGGGCAACTACAAAGTTTGGGGAAGGGAAAGCTCCCAAAGCAACCAGTCATTGTGAAGGCCACATTCTTCAGCTGTGAAGATTAAGAGTGTTTGTGGGGGTTGGTGGTGGCAGCATCTGTGTTCTGGTGGCTTGAAGCTGAGTTAATTACATGGAGGTTGGTTAATTAAATGTTTTTCCCTTAAAAATATATATTCTTCTTTAGTGTGCATGTAAGATTCCCCAGAATAGACTATATGCTAGGTCACAAAGCAAGCCTTGATACATTAAAAACCAATGAAATACTCCAAAACATCTTCTCTGATCACAATTACAAATTACGAATTAGAATCAACAAGAGATAAAAGATAAAGGAGAAAAAACCCATACAAGTGGGGCTGAATAACACATTGATAATTACTGGGAAATGTTGTTTTTTTGTGTCACTGAGTTGGAACCGACCCATAGGTGACCCTCCAGTGGGTTTTTAGAGGCAGCATATTGCACAGGAAGAGGTGCTTATCCATCTCCCACAGAGTAGCTGGTGGATTTGAACCCCTTGCCTTTGGAATTGCAGTGGAGCTTCCTACCACTAGATCACCAGAGTTTGCACATAGTAATAAAAGAAGACATAGAAAATGATGACAAAATTTCTTGAAACAAATGAGAATGAAAACAGAACACATCAAAATCTCTGGGATACAGCAAAAGATGAAGAGGTCAGTTAATAGCAATAAGCAAGCATATCAAAAAGGAAGAGCTAAAATCAACTATTTAACCTAAACTCTCTAACAAACAGAAAAAGAACAGCAAAGAAATTCTGTAATCTTTAGAAGAAAGGAAAGTATACATATCAAGGCAGAAATAAATGGAACAGAAAACAGAAAAAGAGTTAGAATTGAAATTATACACTGGACCAGGAGTTGCTTCTTTGAAAGGGCCATAAAAATTGACAAATCATTGGAAAACCTAACAAAAGACATAAATTGAAAATAAATGGGTGAAGTCACACAGAACCAACCAAAACAAAATGGATAATAACAGAATATTAAGAAAAGCTATACTCTAACAAGTTTTAGATCTGTTGTTCATAGGGTTGTTATTAGTTGATTAGTTGTAATTTTCTTGAGGGCCTTTAACAACAACAGTAACAAGACAAAAGTGAGGCAAAAAGTTTACCTGCTGTAAACAAAAAATACTTATTTTGTACTTCCTTAAATTTAAAGTTGATCATTCTTATTATTTCTAAAATTTCAAAATGTATGAATTATCTAATTATATATTTCTTTAAGATACTACATACATATTGTATCACTTAATTTCAAAGAGAAAACAAAAACAAACCTATGGGGTTGGTTTATTTCCATTTTAAAGGATAAAAAAAACTGAAGTGTAGAATGTTTATAAGAGTAGCTAAGAAAAAAAAAAAAGAGTAGCTAAGGGTGAATCAAGGAGGCTCTGATGGCCTAGTTGCCCTGCCAACACAAAAGCAGTTTGAATCCACAGGCTGCTCCACATTCTCCTTCCTCTGAAAACCCTCTGGATGATAAGCTTTGAGTTGGTTCCAATTTGATGATAAATAAGAATAGGATCACACAACTCCTAAAGTGACAAGATATTCTGACTTCAAAATTTCCTCTTTCTTTCACATTTCTCTGAATCTCAGCATCAGAAACATTTTCGTGGCTTAGTGGTAAGGAGTTGCAATGCCAAACCAAAGGGTGTGGTTTGAATACACCAACTTCTCCATGAGAGAAAGATGGAAGTCTCCTCCTTCGCAATTTATAGTACCGAATTGGTTCTGATTTAATGGTACACAACAAGAAGGATGACTGGCAGGACCAATTACCAAGATGAGTAGACTCCCTTAATGGCTTGCTGCTGTTCACTCCAGCGGGTGGGGTTTTCATACTTGCAGGCTCTACCACCACATGCCATGGAACAGGCCATGTGTCCAGGAATGACATGTCGTAAACGTTCCCCTACTTTTGTGTACTTTGGCATTGGACGCTCTACATTTCCTAGAAAACAAGGAAAGGAAGAGTCAAAATGTCACTCTCCAAACAAAATACAACTTCTATTTTATCTCAGGAATTTAGATGATAAGCTGTGTTAAATCTTCTCATAAAGAGAAAGATCATTTCTTTATCATCAAGTAAATACTTTTTTAACAAAAAAGTATTTGCATGAAATAATCTTCATACATTTTAGCAGCAATGAAGAGAAACTAACTGTAGAAGCAGTTCTTTTACAAGCAACATTTTTAATAAAAAACCCCCCAAAATATTAGATCATTTTATCTCCTATTATACATTCACTAAAATGCTTAGCATAAAAGACCAGAAGTGCATTATACTTATTTAATTACCAAAGTTTATTAAGGTGTAAACACAGCACAATCTGCTCACATTCCTGAAATTTTATTATAATGGTGTGCAGCGTATAAGAAGGAAAAGCTTTACTTTTTTCCCCAGGCAAAACTGGCTTTTCTTCTGCACAGCTGAAGAGAGGCCACAGCCACCACCACTCGGAAAGAGGATGGGGACACCATCTTGGCCACGGAGCTGCTGTGCTGCTGCTGTTGCCTCCGCTGTAGCCACAAGTGTGTTTCTGAAGCAGACAGCTTTTGGCCCTGGAAAAAAGTACTTAGTGCATTCACCACAGATAGCCTCCTGGGTGGATCCTGCATGTTTCTTTGGTCTCCAAGGAAGAATAGCTAGAGGCAAAGAGAACGCAACCCCTAGCCTGCTCAGAGAAGTTACACAGAGATTTTGCATTCTGCTTTATGAGCTAACAGTTATTCAGGATAGGCTGATTCGTTTCCATGGTGACAAAGAAACCACTGTTTCCCACTAAGATCTGTGGAAGCAAAATTCTGTATCAATGGATTGTGTTATAAACAAAGTGTTCAAATATAGGCAATAATAATTTGTATTTTATATTGGTTATTCCTCAATTGAGATTAATCTTATTTTGTTTCCTTTTTCTTGCCTGTTAAACAATATTCTTTATTATGTATTATTAAGTTCTAATTTCTATAAATGTTCTACTTTCCCAAATATAGCTCTCCCTTGGCATCCCCCTGAGCTTATTTTGTTTCTTAATGTAAAAAATATAACTACTCGATTATTTCTCAACATATTGTAATAAATTTATGACACATATACAACTCCTTACACACATATTAAGATTTAAGTTCTAATACTTTGGGGATAACAATCTCTACTCTGGAAGAAGGTTGTTAAAAACTGATAAGGGCAATAAAGGGGGATATGCTTTATAATACTTATTAAAAGATGACGCAATTGTTCATAATGAAAACGAGTTTTTCTTGATAGAAAGACACACTGGAAGAGAACAAATAAAGACATCTGTAAGGCCTGATATATTAACCAGAATATATGTCTTTTCTTATTTTTATTTACAGAATATGAAAAATCCAATTTTTGATTATACTTTGAATGGATGGTTAGAGCAGCCATATAGCTAAAAACAAAACCAAAAAACCCAGAGAGCAAAAAACCAACCAGACCAAAAACCCCCAAATACCAAAAAACCCCAACCCAAAACCAAAAGTCTAATTCTTCATTTTGATGCTGACTATGGAGAAAAAGCAGCTTACAAGCAGAGACACATGAAGAAAATTCACTAAGCATGGCATTTTTAAAACCAAATGGGGGGTAGTAGCAACTTGAGGATAAGAAACCAGGAAGTTGGGCAAGCACCCACTGCATGCACTGTCTACATCTTCCCCTGCTAATGTTTTTTTTTCCAGTTGATAAACTGTTTCTTTTTTTTTTAATATTTTTTTTTATTGGGACAAACATATTGGGGGTACAAGGAGGTGAGCATTGGGGGCAGAAGGGTGAGGATGGGCCAGGATGCAGTTGCAGAGCTGCGCAGTTTGGTCGGTGGGGGGAGCAGGTGAAGGAAATGATGAGGGTCCAGTGGGGACCAGATGCTACAGAGGAATGACAAGCATTTTCCAAT